TTCTCGTCTCTCGTCCTCTCCTCGTCCTCGTCCGTCTCGTCGCNCNCGCCTCCCCGCGCCCCCCCCCCCCCCCCCCCCTCGGCTCTCACTCACGACTGCCACGCTACGTTGCCCTCCTCCCCCCTCCTCCCTCTCTCTCCCTCACCCCCGCTCGCCCTCTTCATTCTTCTCCGTCCGCCCTAGCTCTGCCCGCCGTCGACTGGAGCCAGAAGCAGCGACCCTGCGGCCAAAGATAGCCCCCCCACCAGCCAAAGAACCTGGGCTCACTTCGCTTTAGGACCCAGTCGCAACCACAGCAGCCTACCTGCCTTGGTCTGCCTCTGCCCGGTCTCGACGAACCCTTTTGACGACGATCTCTTACGACCCCACCTGGCATCGGCTTCCCTTCTGCCCACCACCACCACCACCACCACCACCTTCCAGCCCAGACCCCCACCAGTCGCCCTCTTACGTCTCTCCGAAGACGGAGCGAGCGCACCGCAGCAAGCCTCCCCCCTTTCTCCCCTACTCCCCGCTCTGGCCGCCTCGCCAAGATACACTAGTCCGACACCGTTCCGACGAGACTTCGCCAGACACATCGCCAGATACCCCCCCCCCCCCCCCCGACTCAGAACGCTTCCAGACCTGCGCGCCATCGACGTCGGTGCGCGACCTGATCGATCTGCGACTCCTGTTACCGCGCCACGAGACACTCTGCCTCGCTACAAGAAGCACCGCGACACAGCCTCTCCCTGTCGTTCTCTGCCGTCCTTCTGCCGTCCCTGTCCCCTAATCCTCTCGGGCCCTGTTTCCGCTCTCTGGCAACTTGCGCAGCCAGCTCTGGCCAGATCCAACCTCGAACTGCTCATCGATCTCCTCCTACTAGCCTCAGGCTGCTTCGCCATCTTCAGCATCTCGCTCTCCAGCACGGGGAGCCTTTGATCTTCGCCGCCTCCGGTCCTTCCAGCCCGCTCCGCCGCCGCCGCCGTTCTCGCCGATACCCCCTCAGCAGGAGGTCATGTCATCGACCCAGGCCGGCGCCAAGGTCTCGTTGCATCCCGTCGCATCTCGCCATGGCCAGCAGAGCTCAACTGTAATCTCGGTCAACCTGCCCACCGCCGGCGCCGGCCCCCGAGCGGGATCGGCCCGACCCGGGGCTGACAAGCTCGCCAGAGCTCCGCCGCCCTCCCCTGCTGCATCTCGTTGCGGAGGCCGTCCTCAAGCTCCTTCGCAGGCCAACGCCAACGCTAACGCTGGCGGAGAGTGGGGTCTCCAGCATCCAGCACTCGATCGCTATGCCGTCATTGACGACGACCCGACACCTCTCGAGCTGGAGCAGCAGGAGCGGGCTGCAGACGAGGCCCGAAGTCGCAGTGGGCCATCGCCCATGGCCCTCGACGCCGGGCACGACGACGAACGAGCACCCCCGATACGCGCCATGAGCGCAAGCCAGCTTGCCGAGCTCCACAGCAGGTATGTGGCGCTCGACGTGCCGCACAACGTCGTCTTCCCCTTTCTCCACGGCGTCGATGGCAATATTGCGGCGCAAAACGTCTTTTTCGGCGCGCCAATGTCGGGTCAGCCCACTCCAAACTACCGTGGCCTCACCATCGTCCGCGCCGACATGCCGACGCCCGAGGAAGAGGCCGCGCTACGCAAGCTGGAGCGGCAACGAGGCAATTCGACCGGATCGTCGTCGTCCGAAGGATGGCAGAGCGACCAGATTGGGCTTGGCATCGATACGCGGAGCCGAGCGCGCGCCTCCTCCATGAGCACGTCGCAGTCGATGGCCAGCTCCAACGGCTCGTCCGACGGTATCGACGACGCCGACGATGGCCGCCCGACCTGGCCTACGGCCGCCACGGCCATGCCGATCCAACGCCCCGGCGAGTTGGACCTGCCCCCGGCCCAGTGCGGCCGGCCACGCGCAATGACCTCGTCGACCTCGAGCGCGTCCATGACCTCTTCGACCATCTCCGGACCTTCGCTCTTCTCGTGGGCCTCTAGCGGCAACGGAACGGGATCGCAGACCAGCTTCAGCAGCTCCAGCGATGCGGCCGACGACGCCTACCGCGGCGGCATCAAGGGCAGCGCCGGAGACTCAGCCCGCAGCCGCTCGTCTTCGACGCCGTACCAGGCGCAGCCCAAGCACAGCGTCCTCAACTCGACCGTCTTTCCCGCCGAGATCCTGAGCCCGCCCACAATCCGACGCGTCGTCTACGGACGCAGCGTCTACGGCGACCTGGCCTATCCCGGCAGCTTCGGCGACGAGGGCGAGGGCGAGGTCAGCCGCATTGGCGCCAAGTTTGTCTCGCCACCTCAGGCGGCCGGCGTCAGCCTGCGAAACTTCAAGATTCAGTGTGCCAAGTATGCGACCATCTCGGACATCGTCGTCTACTGCCCTGCTGGCTACCACCCTGGCGCCCTCCGCCTTGCCCAGTGGTTCCGTGAGGCCCAAGATGCATTGTGGCGCGACCGACAGGCGCGCGGTCTCGGCGGGCTCCGCTACAATGTCTTCGTCGTGACAGGTGAGTGCCCTTCTGCGTCGCGAGGACACGGCGTACTCATCTGCACAGCGCTGACCTTTCCCTTCCTTTCTCATCCATCTTGCCCCTCTGCCCCGGCCTGCTTGCCGCGCCCCCCTCAGATCCCTTTGACGCCTTCGAGCGATGCTGCCCGGAACTCGTCGCCGTCGATGGATGCGGCTTCTCGCGCAACCGCGTCGACTTTGTTGATCGCGAGCGCGAGGAGATGCAGCGCCTGACTGCCGCATCCGAGATCGACGACAACGTGTGGCTCGGCTGCACTGGCGACCTGCCCGGCCTGCCCGGCAGCGACTGCACCGACGACGAGCCGCTGACGCCGGACGAGGAGGGCAATCCCCACTGCTTTGCAGTCTGCATCGAGGCCCATGACGCCGCTGCTTCGCCCAACAAGGCTCGCCTCGCCCACGCCAATCATTTCCTCGACGCCATCGAGGCGACGGCGCTCTTTGAGGTCGATAGCAGGCAGGCGCTGCGCAAGTTGGCCGAGGACGACGATGGACCGTGGACGGACGACGGTGCGCAGCGCCGGGGCAGCGGCGACCTTCGAGGTGGCTCGCTGGTCCTGGGCCCCAACGGCTGGACCCCCGTCCCCTGCAGCGGCGGCCTGACCAACGGATCGCTCAATCAGCATGCCAAGTGGCGGGGTCAGCAGGCGGCCGCGGCAGGCGGCAGGACCTCGAGCTCGTTTGACGACCAGAGATCGCCGCTGCTGCTGGAACCCAGCAGCGTCATCCACATGGAGTGCCCATCGACGTTCCAGAACTGTCAGTCGGAGCAGCAGGTGGCCAGCATCATCGAGGGCATCTTGCTTCTCTGCGCGTGGATCAAGAAGCAGGCCCAGCCCGCCGCCACCTCCAGCTCGGCCGCACTGCCGCACCGGTCTCGCAGAGTGCTGCTCCACTGCGGCGATGGCTACACCGAGACCTCGGTCGTTGCCCTCTCGTACCTCATGTTCTCCCGCGGCCTCTCGTTGCCGGAGGCCTACCTCGATCTCCAGCTCCGCTCCAAGCGCTCCTTCTTCGTCTACGCTCGTGACCTGCCCTTTCTCAAGAAGGTCGAGGCTGCCATCGCCGAAGACAGGAGGGCTCGCCAGGCGCTCCTCGCACAGGAGCGTGAGGCCGACGCCCGCGCTCGGCGGGTGCGTCACTCGCAATCGAAGTCGTACGGCGGCGGCAACGGCGAGGAACGCTTCGGCTTCAAGCTCGGCCTCGGCCGCAGTCAGGGCTCTTCGCGGCGCTCGTCGATGTCGTCCTCGGCCAGCGAGACGAACCTCAACGCTGCCATGAGCCCGGCCGAGCAGAGCGTGTGGGCACGCAGCCTCGCCGCGGCGACGGGTCTCGTTGCAGCTCCGGGCCAGACGATACGCAAGGCAACCTCCAACTCCCGGCCATCGAGCCGGCTGCCGTCGCGCGCCCGGACGCCGACGCCCAAGGACGAAGGCTCGTCAACCTCCTCGCAGGCCTCGAGTGAGGCCTCGCGCGGCCCGTCCGACGCGCTCCGGACCGACTTCCGCTGGTTCCACGACGCGCGCTTCGAGGGCTCCTTCCCCTCGCGCATCTTGCCCTTCCTCTATCTCGGTAACCTCAACCATGCGCTCAACGCCCACATGCTGCACGCCTTGGGCATCACGCACGTCGTTTCGGTTGGGGAGTCGGCGATCGCGCCGCCTTCGTGCGACGTCAACGGCAACCGGGTCGCGCCGGGCCAGCACATGTCTGGCTCGCCCAACTACACGGCGCACAACTCGCTCTACCACGAGCATGCCGAGGGTCGCATCAGCGTCCTCGACCTCAAGAACGTCTCCGACGACGGCATCGACCCGCTGCGCGACACGATGCGCGACGCCGTCGAGTACATCGAGGCCGCCCGCCGCAGCGGCGGCAAGGTGCTCGTCCACTGCCGTGTCGGCGTGAGCCGCAGCACCACCATCGTCCTCGCCTACGTCATGGCCCACCTGGACTTGAGCCTGGTCGAGAGCTACCTCCTGGTCCGCAGCAGACGCCTCAACATTCTCATCCAGCCTCACCTGCTCTTCTTCTGGGAGCTGCGTGGCTGGGAGACGTTCCTCGCCCAGGAAAAGGCCCGGCTGGCCGCTCGCCTTCGCAAGGCGGCGCCCCGCAGCGTGTTTGAGTCGCCCGACAGCAGCCGCACGCGGCAGGTGCACGGCGGCTGCATCTCGGACGCCTTCACCGGCCTGTCCGTCCGCAGCGGCAGGAGCGAAGGTTCGGGCTCGTACCGATCCGCCAGCTCTTCGCCCTGTGTGTCGCCGCTCCCTTTCTACCCCGAGGAGAGGGCGACTGAGTCCAAGGCCGACATGGTGGACGCCGAAGAGCTTGGCCCTCGCCTCGACGTCGACCTGGCGGCCGGAGCGGGCTCCGTCTACAACTTCCGCCCGAGGGACGCTGCGCTCCTCCCTTTCGGCTCGGGCAGCTCGGCCGGTCTCCCCTACGCCTCGATGCGCCTGCTTTGGGGCCACTTTGCACGCGAGATCGCCGACCTCAATGGCCGCTACTTTGTTTGAGGGCGGTCGATCTGCGCGCACGCAACCCTCTGACACCTGGCATGCGGCAGTCGTGTCTCTGCGATGGCCTCGAACGACATAGCACACCGGCGCACACAGCGTTGCAGCAGCAACATGATTTCGTCCAGGCTTTCTCTCGGCCCCATCCATCTTCTCCCTCTCGTTTCTCTCTCTCTCACACACCATGGACTCTCTTCCGCCTCGTCGCCTCGCCAAGCCTCTTCAACTGTATTTCATTTCGGTCTATCCTCCCGCGGCCTTCAGCCCTCGTCTTTCGATTCTTCTCGGTCCCTCGTCTCCGGTTCCCTCATCGGCTCCCGTCACCGCCCCACGTCCCTATTCCCGTGAGGCATGTTCCTCGACGACTCTTCGGGCTTTCACCCTGCATCGGCTTCGTCCCGTCTTACATCTCACCTCGATAGCTCTGGTCAGCACCTCCTACGTTCCTCGTCGCCGCCCTCCACCACGGTGCCCCACGTCCCCTCCGCGACGGCGCCCGGGCGGCCCAGTCTGTTCATCTCGCTACGGTCCTCTAGTCCTCTTTTCCGTCCCAGCACGCCATCATCTGTACATTGATCTCGCGTCCACGGCTCCCAGCGTCTCCTGCGATCCAAGCGAATCCATTTCGTTACTGACCCAGAGCGATGCGATGCGATCGGCCTGGCCTGTACTATCGGCGGTGCTGCCGGTGGTAGGGGCTGGGCTACATGGTTGATCTCGTCCCCCGTCTAGTCGTCCCTCGTGGTGCTGCGCCGGATGGCAGGCCGCTCAGAGCTTGTTTCTCTCGCTCTTCCTCACCTCGTCCCACAGTCCACCGTCGATTTCGGCCTTTCTGATGCCGTCGTCGTGGTGACCGGTCCACTGGCCGCCGGGCGAAAAGGCGTTGCGGAGGTGCGAGGCAAAGATGGTCGGCTCCTCGAGCGCGGCAAAGTGGCCGCCCCTTGTGGCCTTGGCGATCCAGCGGGTGCGCCCGCCCGCCGTGGTGCGGTCGACGTAGCCGCGCGGCGTGTTGAAGATCTCGTCCGGAAAGTCGCTGTAGCCGAGCGGCACCTTGAGCCTGTACTCGGGCGCCCCGTGGATGTCGGGCAGCATCGGATTGTTGGTGTAGGGCAGGAACGAGGAGCCGATCGACTTTGTAAAGTGGAACAGGGTCGCCGTCTCGAGCAGGTCCTTGACGTTGAGCGTCGGGTGGTCGGGCTTGGACGAGGTCATGACGTCGTAGAAGTATCCCAGCCACCCGAGGATGCCGACGGGCGAGTCGATGAGGCCGTAGAGGAGCTGGGTGGGGCGCAGCTTCTGGACGTGGTAGTAGGCCATCTGCGACTCGAAGAGCATCCCCTTGGCGAGGCCCTTCATCGTCTCGGCGTCGTAGACGTACGAGGCGAGCGTCTGGAGCACCGAGGCGGGCAGCGTGTTGCGCAGCAGCTTGACGAGGCCCGTGGGCGTGACGGGGCAGAAGTTGAGGTGGACGGCGCGGCAGCCGGTGCCGTCCTCCTCTGCGTGGTTGACGCCGAGGGCGCGGGCGTGGGGCGAGCCCCAGTCGCCGCCCTGGGAGGCGTAGCGGTCGTAGCCCAGGCCGCGCATCAGGGCGTTGAGGATGCGCGTGTAGCCGGCAAAGTCGCCGATGCCCGGCCGGTTCGAGGGGGGCGGCGAGGAAAAGACGAAGCCGGGCAGCGAGGGGACGACGACATGGAACGCGGGCGCGGTCGGGTCGTTGGGCTCGGCGAGGTCGTCGATGACGTGGGCAAATTCGTACCAGCTGCCCGGCCAGCCGTGGACGAGGATGATGGGGATGGCGTCGGCGCGCGACGAGCGCTTGTGGACAAAGTGGAGCTGGCGGCACCAGTCGACGGACGTAGTGAAGTGGTCGAAGCGGTTGTACTTTGCGAGGAGCTGGTCAAAGTCGGTCTGCCTCCAGAGGTCGATGGTGTGCTGCATCCAGGCCTTGCTCGGGCGCAGCTGGTGCAGCGTATCGCGAGACTCGGCCATGGCCGGGAGGAGGTCGTCATCGGGCAGGCGGGCCGTCTCGAGGCGGTGCTTGAACTCGTTGATGTCGTCGGCCGAGAAGCTGACGGTGAAGGGCTCGGGCGGGGTGATGGGCGGGCAGTCGTGCTTGACCATGTTGGGCGGTAGTCCTGTGCTAGGCTCGGAGGTGAGGATAGGGGAGCGACGGTGGCGGTTGGGGTGGCAGTCAGCAGGGGGAGAAGGAAAGCTGCGTCGCAAACAAATAAGAAGGAAGAAGAACGCGGCTGGTAAGGGTTGCTGCTCGCCTCGCTCGCACTTCCTTCGGAAGCAGCAAGCAGGCAGGCGTACACAGTGCTCTCGTTGGCCGCGTTCCTACAGTAGTCGGTTGGCTCTGAGCTGCCGACTGACAATACGGTGTCAGCGGAGGTCTGATTGGAGGTACCGTCAAGATGCGAAGGACTGCGGATATCCGGAGTGGCTGTGTGTGACAGCTGCCAGTCGAGGTGGTCGGGCCAAAGTGGTGGCCGGCCAGCCGGTCGAGTTGCGCCCAGACCAGGCCAAGCCGCGGCTGAATCGCGAGCACGCTTCAGCCCAACGAGATGTGAAAGGCGCAGGTCATCGGTGGCTGGGTCCCGATTCACCAGCGCGCCCGATCCAATTCCGACCCTGGCCCAAGACGTTTGGTCGCAAGGGGCCGTCTGCCGTCTGGCCGCCCTGCATCGAGAGAGGGGTTGCCCGTGCAGCAAGCTGGCCACCCACAAGCAAGCAGGCAGGCCAAGGCAGGTTGGTTGCGGTGCTGGCTTCGGCAGATCCGCCAGGCAGAAACCAGATCTCACAGCCCGCCTGCCCGCCCGCCCGTCGGATGGGGTCCCGGAGTCGACTCGAGTCGAGACGAAAGCTGGCTCAGCTCGTCGCCGTCACCGAGCTCGCCATCGATTTTATTGTGCACGCACGCTTCTTTGGCCAGCGGCTGCACCCTGCGAGCCATCGTCGTCCATCTAGCTAGGTGCCCGCGTGCTGCTCCGCCCTTTGCGATCTGGCCTTGCCGCTCAGAGTGCGATTGTCTGCCTTGCTTCCTGTGGCCGACGCAGCGCAGCGGCAGCTCGGTGGGTCGGGAAGCCTTCGCCGAGGCGGACGCCGCGCCGCAAAGGCTGCCTGCAGCAGGTTGGCCGAAGGCCTGCTTGCTGCTGCTCGTTTTTGTCGCCTGCCGTGTGTTGGCGCAGGGCAAAGTGACACGCCCCACGCCTGGCTGCAGGCGGGCAGCGCGTAAAGGGGCCCCCAACCCTGGCCTGGCCTGGCCTGCCTGCCTGCGGCCAGCGAGGAAACCGCCTGCTGGGCCAGCATGGCCTGTTGGTCTGTCGACCTGCGCGCCCGGGCCCGCCAGCCGCCGAATGCACCGCCGGCCGTGGCCGCCTCTAGTCACCTTTGCACGCTGGCTAGCTGGCTTGCAGGTAACCACGACGACCTTTGGCTATCCACCTTCAGCCACCTCGGACGGACTTGCCGCCGCTAATCACGTTCGATAACGGCGCACTGGCTCCCCTCTCCGGCTGCTTCCGCCTGGACCTGCCAGCAAGACGACGCCTGCCATCTTCACGCCAACACATTTCCCACCACGACACCGAGCACTACCTACTCTGCTTTGTTCACGACGCTCGACGATCAGCCGCAACCGTAGCCCGACCGCGGCGCAGTCCATCATCCTGCCAGCGCAGCGCTAATCGCGACGATATCGGATCGCCGCCGGACCCACGCCCGACTCGACCAGCAGGCGCGAGGTTTACGCCCTCGCCCTTGTTTCACGCCCTGTCTAAGACACCATCATCACCGCACCGCACGTAACCCAACCTTGCTACCCTTTTTTGCTGGCCACCAGAAACGGCTCACCTGCTTCGGAATCGCCCGCATACCCGCCCGCACAGCTTTGACAAGGGTCGAGACCTGCGGATCGTCTTCGGAGACGACGCTCCCCCCCGTCATCGCCCAGGTACCATCGAATCGTAAATCACCCTCGGGCAACACCGCACATCAACGGATCGTCTCACCGCTGGCTCACGACCATCTCACTCACTCCGATCGCCATCTACCGCCCACACCTCATCCGGCTGCTGCAGATCCCAGCTTGCCCACAAATACCGCCTCTCCAGCATCCAGCATCCGGACGGCAGCAGCGCTGCAGCCTCGTCGAGCACATAGCCCTACCATGTCCACCATGAGCGACTCGGCGAGCGTCAAGGACGAGACGACCACCGTCACCCCGGCCACGTCGCTCGCAGAGACGCCCGACTCGCCCACCACTTCCCACGACAACGACAACGACAACGACAACGACAACGACAGCCGAACGGGCTCCAGGTTCAGGGTCGACGATGCCCTCACCGCAGACCAACTCGACTCGCTCTACGAGGACCTGCCCGACGACAGCACCGCGCTCAAGGCCATCGTCGGCACCATGCGCCTCGAAATGTCCAAGCGCGACCAGACCATCACCAAGCTCCAGGGCGAGATCGACGAGGTCAAGGCGTCCCACTCGGTCATTCTGCAGCGGTCGGCCGAGTGGAAGGACGAGCTCGAGACGCTGCGGACCAAAGTGCCTGCGCTCGAATCGGAGCTGCAGCAGGAAAAGGAGGCCAGAGAGCTCGAGGCCGACAGGGTCAAGGACCTTCGACTGCGAGCAGAAGAGAGCCGAAGGGCCATCATGAGGCTTCAGGGCGACCAGGGCGCCGCACGCGCAAAGGCAAAGGCCGATAACCGACGGAGCATGGGTCCCGGAGTCCTCGCCAACTGGGTGCCGCCAGGCTCCTCGGGTGGCCGCGATGACCAGGAGGATGCAGAGCTCAAGAAGTCGAAGCGCGCCAGCATGATCTTTGGACCCAACGCGGGGCTGAGCATCAATGCCGCTGCGGCAGCAGGTCGGCCCGGGCATCGCCGCTCGGCCAGCGGCAGCCGCAGCGTCTCGGGCAACTCGAGGGCCGGCGACGCAGCCGACGATTTCGACGAGCCGCTCAGCCCCACGTTACAGCAGAACGCCAACGGCCTCCGTGGCCTCCGCTTGTCGGGCGCGTCCTTTGGACCCAACGGCTCTTCTCTGCACCCTTCGGCCGCCAATGGCGACGACACCGCCTCCAATGCCGGGTCCCGGCGCAGCTCGTACAACAATGGGCCCCTTCGCTCGCCACGCCTTTCGGGTGCCGACCTGCCGACGGAGGCCGACGCAAGCCATGCGAGCAGGCTGGCTGTGCCGTCCGGCGGCAGCGGCATCCGAGGCATGCTCGGCCTGTCGTCGCCCGCTGGCAGCTCTGCCGGCTTTGCCTCGCCCATCCTCGAGGACGGCGAGGACGCAGACGGGCCCGCACGGACGAAAAAGGGTCCCGCCTCGGCATCCGGCGACCAGCCTTCGAGGTCAAACTCGGCGTCTGACAATCTGCACCTCGAAGCCGATCTCAAGGCCAAGGACGTCGAGGTTGAGAGGCTGACGCGCGAGATGCGCGAGATGCGCAACAAGATGGACGAGGCCATCGAGGCGAGGCTGGCCAGTGAGGCATGCCTCAAGGCGCTTCGCGAGTTTATCTCCACCCACGATGCTGCGGCCGACGCCAGCGAGCCGGGCGATGTTGCAAACGACCGCTCGAGTGTAGGCGCCGGCCTGCTCAAGGGTGTCAAGCTGCCTCCTCTGCCCACCGACGAGATCGAGGACGATGCTGCATCGGCGCCGTCCAGGCGAGACTCGAAGGCGGCCACGGGAGGCTGGTCGATGAAGCTGCCGCAGCTCATGCGCAAAAACACTCTCTCGAGCACCAGCGCCAACTCAACGCCCGCCCAGACTCCAGCCGATGAGTCGACTTCGGCAGCCTCATTGGGCTCGTCGCCAAAGGCCAGCGGAGCTCAAGCTGCTCCCGGCGCCACGGCAGGCGGGCCAACGGCGAGTTCGTCAATCGGAGGCAGCCTCGCCAACCTCCTCTCGAGGAACAGCGTCAGCGCTGGACTGGGCTCGCTCGGATCGGCTCCGGCCGCGCCGTCGGCGCCGACGGTCGGCAGTCCGGAGAGCCAGTCGACGGAACCGCCGGCCGCCAGCGAGCTGGTGAGCTCGCCATCGACGACCAGCAACGCCTTCAAAGGGTTTGGCTGGTTCAAGAAGGGTTCGCAGGCGTCCAGTGCCGCGGCGGCTCCGAACGCCGCCCCGCAGGAGGGCGCGACGTCGCCCGCCATGGAGTTTGAGGACAAGGTGATGTCGCCCCCCCTTCCGCTCGCTCGACCACGACCAAG